GGGATTTGAAGGCCTTGGAAATGGATCTCAACAGATGGGAAATCCTGACATCTGAGCGTTCAGCCTGGAGGCATGTGGTGCATCACGGCCTCTCCCAATTTGAAGAGACCCTCGCCCAGCAGGCTGAGGCAAAGAGGCAGTCACGAAAGCAGCAAAATCAGGGAGCTAGACGGGGTACAGATTGTACTTGTCCTAAGTGTGGAAGGGATTGTCACTCTCGAATTGGCCTTCTCAGCCACACTAGACGCTGTTCCAAGTCCTCCATGCAGAGCACGACACCATAGTCTCTCGAGACTGAAGGATGCCTATGATGATGAAAAATAACTGCAAGTTGGGAGCATAGAAATGGATGTGGCCCTCCAATGGACATCCGTTGGATGTCTGTAAGTTGCAACTCTGACACAAAATCCATGTGAAGAAGAGTTATTTGGGCTACCATTGCCAAGGTATAATATATCTACAGGGCAATTATTTTGTTTTGCTTACTTTATGTAATATTTTCACAAAATGACTCCCCTAGTTTTCTCCAGTTAAAATGAGGGCAAATTACCCAACACAACAGCCTTTTCTTTTACTCTCATGGGAACTAATTAGTTAAAAACATTAAGCATAGGAAGAAATTGTTATTCTGTAGGCAACCATTGCTGGACTTGGAACTAGTATACAGAAGCACCAATTTCAGATCATTTTGGCTTCTGTGGTTTAGGCTGGAATTAATAATTCATTATATAGTGCTTAAAATATGATCCCTATTTTCTTAAACTGCCATCTGCAATCTGCCCAAATAAACAAGCTTCCAATCTCTCACACAACTGTCTATATAGTCATGTGGCTTGTCTTTTCCTGTAACAGTAACTAAGTTCGTTTATACAGGGAGTTTCTGGTGGTGGAAAAATGACATTTGGAAAGCACAATAAGAAGCCTGAAGGGACAAGTGAAGCAACAGTAAAAAGTATCTCAAATTTTCAGTTGGACTAAATCCATCCTTCAAAATGGATTTGTAATATTATCCAATTTCACATGTCCCAAATCAGTTTTTGAAAGCAGATTTTGAAAACCCGATTCTGTAACAGGAGAATAAAATCTGGTTTCTTTCTTCTGTTAAGTAATTACGCAGTGGCCAAAATCCTCTTATCTACTTATATTATCATAGCACAAATGGCATAACATTTGGAGATGAATTACCACAAGTTTAAAAAATTACAGTAGACATTATCATTTGCATAGCGGTTGTATGATTCAGCATGCAACTGATAATGTCTACCCTGATTTCTTAGCTTGGGGCAGTTTGCCTCTGAACATTATACAGTTTGAATTGCTAGACAGGAGGATTCTGGCTAGTGACAATTACACTGAAATGCCACCAGTAGGCTTTACATTTCCTGTCTTGGACATATGAACCTGAGTAACTTATAAAGTTCACCAAAAATACAAGATGATATTTAGAATTCTGATCTGAGATTTCACCTCCTGATCCTGAATAGAAGTCAAGGTTTTGTCCATTCTGCTTTTAAATTTCATTTTCAATGCAAACCATCAATACTATTTACAGTGCAAACCAAGGTAGACAAATTCCCAGAGCGGATTGTTGAAACTCTAGTGACCAGTGTATACCAGACTGCTCTAATGTTCAAAATCATATATTAATTCATTTATATCCTTAGTCAGCTCCTGGATAGCTTAGGTCTCTGGCTGTGGAGCCAGAGTTGAGAGTTGGATTCCTGTCTGTGCCTCCTTGAGAGGGCTGGACTAGATGACCCATAGGATCCATTCCAGCTTGCATTTCAAAGGTTATTATAGCTTATTATTAAGGTTGTCCCATTTATTGGGTGGTATAGCTGGCTGGGTAACTCAGGGTATAGGAATTGCATACTGAATAGTGCGTCCCAGGAAAAGAGCCATCCTGTGTAGCCTTGGGCTGTTTTGTTTTTTTTATTAATTGATTATTTTATTCAATTATTTTTATTATTTAGGAGTAGAAATATTTAGGATTGTGCTGTAATAGTTTATTGATATCTATTAGAGAGTGGGGCGGCATTTTCTAAATACTTTTCAAAAAGGACTTTTTTTTCTCTCCTCACAGAATCTGTCTTTAGTGCAGGACACAGAATATAAAAATTAAAAATGGTTTCTGTTACATTCACAGTTAATTGAATAAAACAAAGGTGGGAGATTCCTGTACTGATTTGTAGGAAGGGTGTGCTTATTAAAAATAACATAGAGCTCACTTCACAATAAATGCAGATAAGTGGAATAGTTTCTCAGAGTAGGTGCTGTAAAATATGCTTTCCAGTGTCAAGAGTCTGCCTCGTGTAGCTATCTGTTTTTTTAAGGATGTCTGATGTGAAACAGTCTTGAGGCATGACATCTTACTTCATGGAACAAGACTAGTTGTTTCATCCTAGAACTTATGGAACTGCATGCCTTTGCCAAGAAAGTCTTTCTTAGGAAAATAGTGAAACCAAGTTGCAGCTTGTTGCATGGAGAACAACTTACTTTGCTGTACATAGGTATTATGCTGTTTATTACCTGTTCTGATTAGTTTTTTAAATAAATATTATAACTTATCACACTGTTTCATAGAATATTTTAAAATTAGAAATTAATTTTTGTACTTATATTGCAATATGAAGGTTTAATTATTGTATTACTTGATTGTGATCTGGATTTATCAGTAGAGTATGAGTATTCTGCAACAGTTAATACTTATGAAAGGAGGTTTACTGTATTTCAAGTGCAAATGTTTCCTATCATTAATGAAGCTTACATATAGAAAACCATTTAGCTAGTCATTCTAGCTTCCTCATATGTTCAGTTTCTACACAACTGTCCAGATCATCTTTAATGACACAGAAGACTCTGAATGTGATATTTTAGATTCTGATACAGCATGGACAACTTAATAAGTGTTTTCCAAATCTGGTGAAATTAGAACTGCACATTTTAATTTTTTTTAGGACATTCTATCACAGACCAGATAGGGTAATTCTAACTCTTATGTAACTGGAGCAACATTAAAGTTTAATCTACAGTGCTTTGGAAGTGCAATCCTTCTTGACACCATTATAGGCACTCTGTGAAAATCAGCCCTTGATCATTGTTCCCAAGACATGTTCCTGGGTAGCATCTGAACAATATTTCTGCATCAGACCTGTGTTACTTCTTGCTCATATGTGTTCTAATATGTGTCTTACAACATTAAGTTCTGTAGACCTTTCATCACTACTCAGTGCTGACTCTCTTCTCTGGTCGCTCAAGTACTTCTCTAATAAAACGAGCTTAGTGGGGCTTCAGTAGTACTAACTATAGTTTACTTTATTAGGTTATAATTCTTATAAACATGGATCTCTTACAAGTGTCATTATCATACAGCCTTTTCAATAATTAGCAGAATGAAGTGTACCAAACCAAGGTGCTTTCTGGGTTTTTCAATTATCACTACTATAGTTCCTCGGATTTGAAATGATTCATGAGAAACCAGAATTCTGCTCGTTTAGTTCTTTGTGCTTTTTAGTTCCTATGTGAAATGGTAACTATAAACTTCAGAGAGGACTAGCAGGCGCTTTCTAATCTGAGTATCATTCAGAGTGGTTGTGAAGTAGTGCAGACTTCAAAATAGCAATGCTTATGTAATTGTCCTGATATTTAGTTGGCATTCTATGTTAAGCCTGAATCACTATTCAGGTGATCATTTATCATAACAAACATGAAATGAAAGCTTTCATTCTTCAGTTTCAGAAGCCGAAAATGTCCATCTGCTCTTGGGAATGCAAACCTGAATCACTCTTCAGGTGATCATTTATCATAACAAACATTCTTCAGTTTCAGAAGCAGAAAATGTCCATCTGCTCTTGGGAATGCAATTTGAAGTTTTCACACAAGAATAAACACTTCCAGACTTTTAACAAGCATCTGATGGAGCAGTTTGATCTTGAATTACATGGCTTAAATATATAGAGACTTAATCCTGAATAGATTATGGTCTTGTCCATAATGAGTAGAATGTTTCATTAATCTTATCTTCATGAGCCTTCATTTTTTAAATAAGATTTTGTAGATCCTTTGCCATGTTAATTCAGTATGAAGGAGCTTGATGATTGGGAGATCGCAGTCTTACTCTCCTTTTAGAAAGGAAAAGCATTGTTCTCTAGGCAAATACCAACTTACAGTTCCTCCAGTTTCTACACTATTGCTGTTAGCTTTTGAAAAGCTTGAGAAGAAAATCTGTGAAATACTTGTTGCTATAACACATCATCTGCCTACTAACCTGGTGTGGAGTCGCATGTGAATTTGTGTCTTTCTTTTCCTGAAACAATCAATCAGCCGCATTAGCTGACCTTAGCACAAACAGCATTATTATCGCTTCTAATCTCTTGCTTTGCTGACTTTTGCCTGGTCTGCGCAATTCACTTTCTCCAGCTCTTCCTTCACTTTTCTACAGTACTTCTTCCTTCCTCTATGTAAAGGCATGTCTTTATATGAAGATGTGTCTTTGTGAAATTATGTCACTCAACAGTGACTTGTATTTGGCCTAGCACCTGGTTGGTTTCTTCTGATGTTGGCATTCAAGCTGTTTCATATGGTCTCCTATCATTTTCCAGGACAATCTGCGTAAGAAGGATGATCGGATTGAAGAACTGGAAGAAGCACTCAGAGAGAGTGTACAGATAACTGCAGAGCGGGAAATGGTGTTAGCTCAAGAAGAGTCAGCCAGGACACATGCTGAAAAACAGGTCTGCACACTTACAGTCACTCCTGCTAATATTTGGAAAGTATTATTAGCTGTTCAAAATACTACATGATCTTGAAACCCTTGGTGGACATTAATAAAAGGCCTGTTAGTTTAAGTTGAATTTTAACTATTTTTTTCAAATATTAATTTGAAACGTCTTTGAAACCTGGAAGTGGTCTTCCAAATATTGCCCTCAGGATCTGCTGAATAAAAAAATCAGGTTTCCAAATAACTAGCAAACAATGGAACTTCACACTGAGAAGTATTTTATTCTTGAACCTACTTTAAGGTTTACTGCTGCTCCCCCACCCCTTTTCTACTGAAACAAGAATATGAGAAATATGCCTGTTAGACAGGGGGAACAACTCCCTGTCTGTTTTCATCCCAAAGACTTTGCCAGCTACGTTTCATGGATATTTCAAAGCTTTTTGTACATTAGCCATAGAAATTTTAAAAACTAAGAGCAGTGTGGTCTCAGAATCACTAGAAAAGATTTTCATAAAGGGCATTGATTGAACTGGATAAAATCCAGTGTGAACTAATCTTTTAAAAATTAGTATTAGGAAGAAATCTTCTCTGGAGGTCTAAATCCAATGTTCAACTTGCCTTGCTGTGATTAGCAAGTCCAATTTATTTTGCTATATTTGCCTGCCATATACAATTGTGAAATGGAATGTCATTCCTTAATCATCTAAGATTTTCTGACGACAAGGATGTACAGCATTGGTCTTAGAATTGTTAGATTACTTGTACAGTTTTGAGAGGATGACCTGTGATGCTGTACTTGGTAGTTTTTAAATTTATAGGACCACCTCCATTCAGAAAAGGGCCCTTGAAGTAGCATGCAACAGCAAGAAGTAAAAAAGAATTGTAAATGAATAACAGTTAAACAATAAAGGATCTGAACAGCAGAGAAGACTTTAACAAAATTGGTAAGAAGACCAAGCAGCAGTATGAAAACCCATCATATCAAGGAGGGAGCATTAAGCAGTATCATGTGCACACTGAAAAAGTAATTATGAATTGTGTATTAGTGTATTGACACAAAAGCAAGAACTGTGAACTGAAATCAGAGGTATCTACTGATATCTACAGGAGATTCAAAGAGACCATTCCTGTAGTCAAAGGAAAAGAAAAAACTAGGTGGATTTCTCATGAAAGGTGCAGAAATATGGTCAGAATTCTGAATGAAACTTTTCAGCAACTTTCACATAGAAACAAAGAGTAGCATTATGATAATTATAGCACCGAAAGAGAGGAGTACAACCAAAAAACAATATCTCTTCCCCTCAGCAAAAAAATCTACAAAATCAAAAGGAAATTTAAACCAAGATTAGAGACATTGAAAGATCAACAAAGGAATACCTTATCTGATCAGAATAAAATAAAGACAACATGGGAAAATATACTAAAGAATTTTGTATAAGTGTATCATGAATGACAGATTCTTCAAAGAAGAACAAAAAATGAGTTTTGATTAAAACCTGCATTCTTACAAAACAAAATGAAGGTTCATCTCAAAGCAACTGGAATAAATAAATTATCATAAGTAGGTGGAATGTAAATAACACTATTTTTCAAAATTGTAAGAACAATATGCCAGCAGTAATGGAGTAGAACCCCCCCTCTGCAATGCACACCGTAATATGGCAAGGAAATGTCGAAGAAGCTGAGAGCAGTGCTGTCAGAAGGCTATACTCCATTAAGTATATGGGCTCCTAGCAAGCACCCAAGGCAAAATGATCAAAGCTGAAATACCAGACTAAAATGCATCTGCTTTCTTCAGGATTAACACCTGCATCAGCAGAAGAGAATGGATAGTTCCAGTCATGTTGTGGGAGTAGAGAAATCCCGAAGGGCAGCAGCAGTAGCTGAGGAGTGACTTGGGTGAAAGGTCTTTCACAGATGACAGCACTAACACTCAGACTACTTTTTGTTAGTACTGCACAAAAGAAGGCAGTGGTAAACCACTGCTAAGTATTGCTTATCTTGAAAAGCCTGAGACAATTAAGAATTAAAAGAGATATTGGTGGAAGATGAAAGTCCCAGATCAGAAGGCACTTTACTGGGAAGGAGCAAAAATTCAAGTAGAAATAGTGTTGCCACTAATGATGCAACTAGATTAAAGAGCAAACCAACCAAAAACATAACTAACTACTGTATAACATGTACAAACATCTCACAGAAACAATATATAAATCAGTATTTATTATTTTTATTCTGTTTCTTTGATTTATATACCACCCCATTAATGCAAAGCACTATTCTGGGCAGTTTACAATGTGATTAAATAAAAAATATACTTCAGTATATTCAAGTTCAAGTTTATTGTATTAGCTAAAAGTCATCACAATTGCTAAAAATACAAATATGATCAAATAAAATCATTATAAAATCACAGACATATAAAATAATAAGAGACCCTTTATATCTGGGAGTCTCCTGCACAATTGATTGCGATGGCTTTCAGGAAATTAGCACGAATATTTCTGGCCACTTTTGCAAACAGCGCTGTTCTGTATGTAACATAAGAGTCACAGTCCAAAAGTAACCTGGCCACCTTTATCTGAGAGCTTTCCTCCTGTAGAGCAGACAAAATGTTACCCAGGAACTTTTCTCTGGGGTTTTGATAGAGATGACAGTTGAGCGGGATCTGAAGGCCTTAAGAATAGACCTCAACAGATGGAAAACTCTGACATCTGAGCATTCAGCCTGGAGGCAGGCGTTGCATCACGGCTTCTCCCAATTTGAAGAGACCCTTGTCCAGCAGGCCAAGGCAAAGAGGAAGTCACAAAAGCAGCAAAACCACAGAGCTGGACAGGGGACAGATTGGATTTGTCTTCAGTGTGGAAGAGATTGTCGCTCTCGAATTGGCCTTCTCAGCCACATTAGACGCTGTTCCAAGTCCTCCATACAGGGCACGATACCATAGTCTCTCGAGACTGAAGGATGCCTACTACAGTTGAGTAAACGGTGCACAACATCCTCTGTCTCACCTGCTCTGCAGATACATAGCCTTAGATGTTTAGGGACATTCATATGCCTGCTGTCTAAGACAATGGTTGGTATGGTTTGGAAATGGAGTTCTGTGAATGCGGTTCTCAGGGAGGCAAAAGTAAGTGTATGTAAGTATTGTGCCATTGAGTGGTTTGTTTTCAGCAGATGGTACCAGTGAGAGAAATTTGAAGAGTGAATTAAGGCTAAGTCCTGGTCATTATGCAGTTTGTAGAACCAGTCCCTCAACATTCTTTTAACCCCAGAAAAAACTAAAATATCTGGGGAGAGGGATTTAGATTTTAGTAGGGTTTGAACTGAAGTTGCCCAGCCGCCACTCTTCCATACAATGTTTAGGTAGATGGTGGTCGGACATACCCATCACCCTCTTGTAGTAAGAGAACATGGCTAGAGTTGCCCTGGCTTTAATGGACACCATGCCTGTCTCTGTTTTAAGAAAAGCTGCTGGAGTCCCCTGGGTTGCCGCGAGGATGTGTCTCAGAAATGTATTCTGTCCTACTTCAAGATGGTGTAGGTTGTTCTGATTCATACCCCAGATCTCAATTCTATAAAGAATTTGAGAGATGACCCTCCCTGAAAAGGTTTTAAAGCTGGTTTTACTAGTTTACCACCTTTAGAATGGAAAAATTTGACCTGTAATTTCGTGCCCTGTACTGTATCTGGGATTGAACCGATAATTTCGTGCCCTGTACTGTATCTGGGATTTCCAGCAGTTCTTCTCATCAAAATGCACTCCTAGGTACTTGAAGGTCTGGACTTGTTCTATTTTATTTTTGCCTATAGTCCAGCTGTGAAGGAACCTATAGGCAGCTGCGAAGGAACTAGAAAATATTGTCAACTGTATGAATATGTCACCGAAGACCCAAGTGCAAGATTATCCATCCTGTGATATTCACAGTTACTGCACATGATTGTGGAAGCTGGACAATGAAGTAACTTGACAAGAAAAACATAAACTCACTACCAAGCAGACAAATAAATAAGTTCTAAATCAAATCAAGTCCAAATTCTCACTAAAAGCTAAAATGATTAAATTGGGGCTACTATACTTTGAACACAACTGCTTGAAAAAGTTTATAATGCTAGAAAAAAAGCACGGCAGTAGGAAAAAAGAAAGACTGAAGATGAGATGAATTGACTCAATAAAGGAAGCCTTGGCTCTTAGTTTGCAAGACCTGAACAAGACCTTTTGAAAGTCATTAATTCATTGGGTTACTGTAAATCAGAAGTGGCTTCATGTTAGATAACAACAGTTTATAACTGTTGTATTCTTTAATACACCCATTTCAAAATTCGCCTTTTTCTTTCTATATGAAGACTGAAGATGAGATGAATTGAGTCAATAAAGGAAGCCTTGGCTCTTAGTTTGCAAGACCTGAACAAGACCTTTTGAAAGTCATTAATTCATTGGGTTACTGTAAATCAGAAGTGGCTTCATGTTAGATAACAACAGTTTATAACTGTTGTATTCTTTAATACACCCATTTCAAAATTCGCCTTTTTCTTTCTATATAATTGAGTTCAATTCATAAGGAAAATAATTTTTCTGTTAGTCTTTATATGAACATTTTCTCAAACTGATTTCATTACTGTATTTTGAGACAGTGAGCACAATCTGATTTGCACTGCCTGTGGCAGAAGGATGGCATCCAGCAGAAGCAGGAGAGTCAATCTTCTTTTCTTACTCCAGTCTCCCAAATAACCTCTCTTTCATTTTCTTCAGTGTCTTAGATAAAGTTACAGGATCTATAAAGTTCTCTAACTCGAACTCAGTTGTTATCAAAGTGATGTTTTGATGCATTTCATTTACTTTCTGCAATTTTTTGTCTCTTCTTGACTTAACTCAGCTATACCATGTCTTTGTTTGATACAGTTCTGTGTTCTATTTCTCTTTTGGCTTTTTATAATTCATTATTTATTCCTTTTTGAAAGACTTAGATTTTTAAACTCATTTGAGAATATTGCCTCATTTTCTTCCGATGAAGC